GTGCGCAGTGTTTTCAAGACACAGAGATAAATAAAACACAGTCCCTGTTATTAATCTCTGCATTTTGCAGGTGGGGAAAATGTGGAATCCGTTATGAGTGTGTACGTCTCGTGCAGGGACAGTTCTTGGCGTCATGGAGAAGTTTGTTTGCATAACTCTTCACAGGAAAAGGATTGGACTTAAACATGACTTCGCTGGATTTTTCCCTCCAGGTTACGACTTGTGCCTGGTGGGAGTCGAGACACAAAACATGTTCATTACGCAGCCTCAGCCTACACGCATTGGCCCCCACCCTTCACACCTACACTTTTAATCTTTTCAACAAGTAATAAAAGTTGGCTTGACCTCAGACATCCTTTCCAGCAGGAGAAATGTAGAGATGATTGATTGTTACTCTCAATTACTTCTGAGTCAAGGATATGTCCTCTGAGGCGGGTAGTAAATGCTGGATGAATGAATAATGGAACGCTACAGTGGGGTTGACCAGATTTCTCTACTGTGAAGCTACCCTTTTTCCTTTGTAAGTAATTAAGTATCATGTGAGGAGGATACTTGATATAAACAATGCTGTTTCTCATCAAAATTTCACCCACTACATTTTAGCATCCATTGGTGATTCTTATCTGAAACTATTATTATTGTAGCATTTGCCAAAGGGTGATTTTGCCAGTTTCTTTTAAATATGACTATGCATTAAAAAATTTTTTTTCTCAGTGTCTCGAGCACTTTTTAGCATATGACCTTGTACATGTTACTGATTCTCCTTGAACTTAATTTCCTTCATCTGTAGGTTGGGAATAATGATAGTAGTTGACTCTCAGGTTTGTTTGAAAATTAAATTAAATAATACACATAAAGCTCTTAGAACAGGGTGTGACAACCAGTAAATATTCCACCCAAGTTAGCTGTGAGTATATCATATTTATCAATATTGCTCAACTCTCACGGGCTCTTAAAACAGAATTTAACGTTGGAGGATTCTGCACGTTAAGAAAGAAGATTTTGTCATACTCTCTTGAAATAAGCGGTCAAATCTTTCACCAGGAGAGGGAGAGCAACCCGTGCCTGAAAGAGGGAAGATATCTCAGAAAAGATTCAGAGTCCATCAGAAATGCCGAAGGGCTCCTGTTTACAAGGTCCCAGCTGTTCGAAGCAAACAGCCGTGGGCCCTGCTTGTTATTTTTCTGCAAAGATGAGAAGAGACAAGCTAGATACCACCCCTGTGGAATTACTCTGTGGAGTTAGGGACTGGACCTTGGACCAAGGGACAGATTTCCTTATGAAAGGAGAACCTCCTGAGAAATGCC